CGCTCTGACAGCGCCATAGTGCAGCAGGAGATCGTGGGCCAGGAGCGCCTCTTCTACGGGGCCTTCATGGGCAGCGAGACCAGGAACGTGGAGTTCAAGCGGGGCAGCGGGGAGTACCTGCTGGGCACCCTCAAGCACCACGTCCGCAAGTACGTGTGCGCCTTCCTCAACAGCGAGGGCGGCAGCCTCTTCGTGGGCGTGGAGGACACGGGCTTCGTGCACGGCGTCCGCTGCGGGCACCGCGAGGAGGACCGCATCCGCCTGCTCGTGGACTCCATCCTCAAGGGCTTCAAGCCCCAGGTGTTCCCCGACACCTACAGCCTGACCTTCATCCCCGTGGTGAAAGCGGGCGACCCCGGCACGTGTCTCAAGGTGATCCGGCTGAGCGTGCGGGCGCCGCGGGCGCAGGCCGAGCTGCTGCTCTACGAGACCGACCAGGGCGAGGTCTATCTGCGCCGCGACGGCAGCATCCAGGGGCCGCTCTCCGGCAGCGCCATCCAGGAGTGGTGCCGGCAGGTAACGGCCCCAGCGCCACCGCTGCCATAGCCTTGGGGAGGGCAGGATGGAGGTGAGTCCCCCGGGCAGGGCCTGGGCTGGGGGCCGCATCCAGCCCCTGTTCCAGCTGGAAGGTGCTGGAGCGGGTCGTTCCCTGCACTGTTGTGCCTTGGTCGGGGCCCATGGTCCCCTCGCTCTCTGCCCCAAAGGACAGGGGTGCAGCGGGGCTCGGAGGGGGCTGGTATTAGCTGTGACAGGCAGGCCCTCCCCAACCTGCTCCTTGCAGCCCTGGGGACCCCAGCAGGTCTCACTGAGGGGGCCGATAGATGGATCAGCCCAGGACACGCACCAGGTTCCTGCTCTGGGAACAGTCCCGCTGCTGCGTGCTGGGACGGGGGCCTCAGTGAAAGCTCCAAGCCAAACGGAGGCTCATTTTATCTGTAAATATAACTGAATCCTTCAGTCGTCACCTCTAAACAAACAGCCATTACTGCTGCACCCCGAGCTACTGTGAACCCTCGTGGCCCTGCTCATGCAGCAAGGGCTGTGCTGGGGTTGAAGGTCCTGCGCTGGGACCCGGTGTTTGGTGGGGAACCAGATGAGAGCGTCAAAGAGCAGCTGCGCCCTGGGCAGCTGCATTGACCTGGCTGGGAAAGCGGCTCAGAGCGGCGTCCTGCCCGTCCCACCGGTTCAGCCCCGGGAAGCGCGTTAGGTCCGAGGTCCCCAGGAGATGCTGCAGTGACAGGGCTGCGGTGGTGAAACAGGCCAAGGGGCACCAGCACCTGGACCTGGCCAGTCCTGGGTCATCCCCAGAGCAGAAGAGACAGCCGGGGGCCCCCTCAGGAAGGGACAAGTGGGCTGGTAGCTCTGTCCCAGCCGCTGGCCCGCGGGGTGCGTGTCCTGGCAGGGAGCTGGGGCATCCAGCACAGCCAGCAGAACCAGCTCTCCTCTCCCAGGACAGCTCAGGGCACTCGTCTCTTTTTCCCTTTTCTGCCCCAATTCCGTCCCAGCCCCCGCCACTCAGGCTGGGCCCCACAGAGGGAGGGAGGCAGGAGCCTGGCTGAGGCTCTCCACAATACAACGTCCAGCTCAGGGGAGGAAGGTCTGCGCCAAGATGTTCCTTCAAAGACCATTACGAGGCTGCTCTGTGTCCACAGAAATGGTCGGGAGAATTGAAGAAGCTGGAGGAGAAGATAGAGGTGCTGCTGAAGGAGAAGGAAGATCTTCTGCAACAACTCAGGCAGCTGCAGAGCTCGCGGCCCAGGTCCAAAGTCTGCACCATTGCGTGAGCAGGGCTGGGGATGGAGAAGCAAGATGAGGAGTGTAAGGAGGAAAGCGCTTCCCTGTGCACCCTGGAGCCAGGACGGGCGGCGGTTGGCAAGGGCAGGGGCACCCGGGCCTCACTCACGGGCAGCCGGAGCCCCGCGCGGCTCGGGGCACCAGGGGTTGATTCCTCCGAGAGCTCCGGCTGCTCCTGCCGGGGAGCTCAGACACGAGGGCAGCAGCGACGCTGCCCTGCAGACCCTCCCCAGACCGCGCTGCTCCGCGGGGAGCTGCCCGAGGCCGGACACCAGGGAAGCAGCTCCCCAAGCAGCAGAGAACAGGGACACCCCTGGGCTGTGCAGGAAGTCCCCGCAGAGGGTCCAGGGCAGCTCGTGGCACGACTGCTCACAAACGGGTCGCTTTATTTCCCCTGCGCCCGGCCTCCCTCCCCGGTGAGCTGCGGGCTTTGGCCAGCTCCACGGACCGGGCAGCAACCCGGTACCGGTACCGAGGGCTGCCCTGGTGCAGGCCAGACCCACGGCCCCAGGGTCCCTCCAACCCTTCTCACCCCCCTCCCACCCCGGGCAGAGCTTTCTGCTCCTGCCCAGCACCGTTTTCCCTCCGGGGCTACAAACACGGAGACAGACAGGCGACTTCCTGACACTGACACTGACCCTTCTTGCACGTCCTTGACCAGCAGGTTTCCCCAGGGCTGACACTGGCTGAACCCAGCAATTTCAGCAGGGCAGCAGGAACACACGTGCTGCAAACCCAGCTAATCAACATCTTCTCGTTAATACTGGATTAACTAAAGATGCGACACTAGTTCACTTGTAGTTTTTTTCCTCCCCTCTGAAATAGGGAAACTATATGGCAAGCTCTTGGCTAGTTATTTATTTTTATTACAAATAAGCATTTCATGATGAAGTCAGTTACAGTTTTGGCCAAAATAAAGACATTTCATTGAAAAGAAAACAAAGACGCGCTACAGATCACGAACGGTCTCACACTGCTGAAGAACCAGCCATTTTATGGCCAGTGTTTCCTTCGTTACAGAGATCATCTCAACTTGGTCAATAATTTTTGCAGAACTGTTATAATTGGCACAACTGAAGAATGCTTCAAGCTTCCCTGGCTAAAAGCAGCTTCCTGATGTACATCAAATAATTAAGAAATGAAGCAAGAGGGAGTGTGAAAAATTCCACCTGGGAGGAGGCAGGACAGCGCGTAATGAAGTTTGGCACCAGGCAGTGTGAAGTCAGCACTCAGCCAGGCTCGAGACGTTCAGCTTTCCCCAACCTTCAATGGACTGAAGAGCTCTGAACACTCGACACTTCAGACAGCAGAGAAACTTCTTCCTTTCTTCTAAATATGCCAAAGACCAAAAATTGCATTGCTTACACTGCAGCGAAAGGCAGGAAAAAGAACAAAATAAAGGAACAAGAGTGCATCTTCCAGCCCGGCCTGCAGAGCCGAGCAGGGCGCCGCGGGACAGCGCACACCTACGCACTAAACCAGTAACACTGTAGGCAAATTGCTCCCCCCGTATCAGCAAACAGCACTCGTGCACTGCACTCGCAGCGCGGGAACACACGGGCTTCCGCCGCGTGAAAAAAGGCAAAGGCTCCAGTTCAAACTGAACGAAAAGCACCACGACCTGCTCGGTCCAAGGTAAACACACGGGAGCGTTTAAAGGCAGCATCGGAAAGTAGTTGGCTCTCTTCTGTACCTCCCCCTTGATGCAAGGAGTTGACATTTCCCAGCCTCAGCAGCAGCACCAGCAGAACTGGCGTAGGACGGGCTAAGGTTACACCTCCTTCCAGGCAATGATGGGGTTTTCCTGACAGTTTGGCTTTTTTCTTTATTTTTTTTTTCCCTCACATGATCCAAGCTAATTGCATCCCTGCAGAGTGACACCTCACAGCTGCCCGGGTTCAAGATTAACTCTTCTGGCCCAGAAACAAGGTTCTCCTGGTTAAAAGTTCAATGAATGCACCAAGACTGCCAGTGCCAAACACTTAAATACCACTGAAAAAAAAATAAAAACAACAAAAAAGACATCCTACCCAAATAAAGACTGCATAAAGCTTAGCAGGCCCATGTCTGCAGCACAGCAGAGCTGTGCAAAGAGCTGAACAAAGACAGCCCCCGCATCCAGGATCATCCAAATAATTCAATCAGTAATAAAAACTGCCCAGGGAGCAGAGAGAAATTGGAGAAAGCAACTCAGATGCCAGAGTACCCAAGACATAAACTTATGCTTGCATTACTATGCATCAGGAAGGAAGTGTGCGACTGGGTTCTTCCCAACACATTATATCTCATACCCAAACTTGTTTTCTTTCCTCTGAGATGGTGTGATGAAAGTCTAGAGATGCACGTGCTCTGATAAGCTCTCTGCCAGAAATAACCAGAATCCAGAGGAAATAAACAAGAGACAGAAGAATTGAGGAAATAAAGGGACAGGATTTCATAACAAAATTATAAAACCATAACTTAAGAAAGCCCAAAGCTGAGAGTGTTCAAGCTATTGCTGTAAGAATGCCTGGAAACTCGAATGAAGGCTCTTCTTTTCCAGCGAGGATCCATCTGGAGAAACAGAATGGAAAGGAGCAGGAATTAATGATCAAGAGGAACAGACAGGCAGCACCCAGCACACTGAAGTCTCTGAGCCCTACACACATCATCCCAGACGAACACGATGTTTGGGACATGACAAGACTCCTCTTTCCCCGATAAAAGACATCTATTAGCTTATAGGAAATGCTGTGGTCATTTTAAGAGCTTTAGAAGTCAGCATTTGAGTAAAATTTAGGAAGTGAGCACTGCAATTCTGAGGAATGGCCCTGGATGATTCTGAGGAATCTGGCTGTGCCAAAAGGAAAATCCTGATTTTTCTGCAGTTAACAGTTTGTTGAGCTCACACTTGCACCCGTTGCCCACTCTACCATTTTTAGGCCAATGTCTTCAGGGATGGTCATGACAGAAGTTTTGGGCTAACCCTCACTTTCACTCAGCAGTTCATGTAACAGGCACTTGAAGGAAGGAAAGAGGAAGGCCATGCTGGCCATGCTGACCCACTGGCACTGAGCAGTAAAATCCTGCTCTCTCAGGACGTGCATGTGCACAAACGGTGCTGAACTCATCAGAAAACCCTACACAAAAACACACAGCCAGAGCAGTGTGAAAAATGTTATGGACAAGGACATCTATTCCACAAAGGGAGAGGTTGTTCCAAGATCACCAGCAAGAAAATTGCAGTTAATTTTGAATGCTGGGGCTGAGCACCTCCCCTCCAGACAGGGCTGTGTATGCCCAAAGCTGAGTTTGCTCCCAAAACACTCAACTTCCTAAGTGCAATAACCCCTTGCTCAGCCTTGCCTCCAGTTTCAGCAGTGTGTGCTGTGTTTGTACTTGGTTTTGTTATTTGAGGTCAATCCCAAACTCCCACCTGTATTTTTATGCTTTATTATGCATCAGTTTGTGAAGGAAATACCCACCCACAGCTGTTACACAGACACGAGGTATTGTGCAGCCCTTGACACAGCTGGGCTGCATGTGTGAGCACCAGCTTTCCACTAACTGATCTAAAACATTCAAATGTTAGGAGGAAAGACTGGGCAAGGATTTTTTTCTATACAAGAATGGGTGGAGGTTATTAGAACTTACCAGGATTCAGTCATGATTTACTGATGGAAACTTCAGTTCTGTTATCTCTGAGTCAGGTGAGCTGCTGCCACTTCTATCGCTGTAGGTGTCCCTGCAGAATCAGAAAGGTTTTGGTTTATGGAGCATAAGCTGCTTTAGGGACCTATCTTTGCATGAGGAATTAGAGGGCATGAGGTTCTGAATGAGCTACCAAGCACTTGAGAAATTCCTAGGAAAGTCAACATACGTTTTTCAGCAAACATCAGGGAGTGTGGAATGAGTTTTTGAACAAAATCTCTGTAACCACCTTAAGGATTTTTGGAGGAAATAACTAGTAAGAAAATTTGGATCAGAAAGTTCTTATAGCTGTCTCTTTGGAAATGGGGCTCAGTTACAGTTAATTTTAAAGTTTGTGTATTTAATTTAATTTTATATGTATATATATGTAAAAGGTACTTTATGAAAAAAAAGCTAATCCAAATGAATTTCAATAAATAGGATAATAGGTGACTGGTTAACCATCCACAAGCCATTCTGTCATCTGAAGCTTCCCAGTAAGCGCCGATAACCAATAAACACTTTTTTTTCGGATCAGAGAATAAGTCAGATTGGAGGGGACTTCACGACACCCATAAAGCAGGTTCAGCCACGAGATCTGACCTGGCTGCTCAGGGCTTATCCGGTCACGTTTTAAAACCCTCCAAGGCCAGAGACTGCACCACACTCTGAGCAAGGTGCTCCAAAGCTTCTCTGACCTCATGGTGAAGATTTTCCTTGCATCCAGTCAGAACTTCTCGTATTTCAATTCACGACCTTTACGTTTCATCCTCCTGCCACGCACATCTCCAAAGAGCCTGTCCTCATCTTCTCCATCACCTGCTGTAGGGACCAGCCGGCTGCTGTGAGGTCCCTCCCCACCCTCCTGCTGCACAGGCCCAGCTCCTGCAGCCTCCCCTCATGGGGCAAGTGCTCCAGTCCCTGGACTTTCCTGCTTGCCCTTCCCTGGACTCCCTTCAAGTTTCTTATGTCTTGCTGGTACTGAGGAGCCCTCAGATGGACACAGGATTCTATCAAATGCCAAATCACTTCCTATCAACAACAGTGGTGTTCCTGCGTTCCTGTCCATACAGCCCAGGATGCTGCTGGCCTTCTTTGATGCCAGGGCCTATTGCTGGCTCATGTTCACCTTGCTGAACAGCTTCCACGGGCCTTTTCAGCAGGGCTGGTCCCCAGCCGCAGCACAGACCCCAGCCTGTGTGACTGCAAGGGGCTCTTCCTACCCAGGTGCAGGACTTTGCACTGTCCCTTGTTGGGTTTCCTGAAGTTCCTCCTGTCAGCCCATTTCTCCAGTCTAGGTCCCTTTGAAGGGTGGTTCTAT